TCCTGCTGACTCTGTAAGATACGGTCTTCTGGCTGTTGCATATCTTATTTTTTTCATTTTCTTTATGGATCTTCACATGGGTTTTGATTAATGATGGATGCTGAACAGAAAATTTCTTTCAGCTGCTCGCACTGGTACCTACATTTTCTTCCTTTCAGAACCTGCTAATGGGTGTAAATAGTTCATATAATTCCTTCTGATGTATTTCACTTTGCATTTGAAAGATACCTGAATTTTTAGCTGTCATTGTACTGCTTATTCACCTAGCAATTCTTACCTAAACTTTAGGGTCAGGGCTTACATGTGCATGTGTGGGGGCAAACAGTCATGAGCTTGTTCTGCCCAGTCTCACAGCTGGTTTTGCCCTGTCTTTGGACTGGAAGCTTTGCTGTGTTGGCATGCTAGGTAAATCTGTGCAAAAGCTTAGCAAATAACCCTGAAGTGGAGCTGACCTGATGCAAAGCAGCTCATGGGAGAGGTATGGCAACTTCTGTTTTTCTGCACTCATCTGAAAGACTTCTCTAAGACTATTTCTGCTCTGTGAAAACAAGTTCCAGTTTATGCCCCACAAAGATATTTTTTTTTGTTAGTATTTTACAGGAAACAGAATTACCTATTTTGTTCCATAAGAATGTATTCAAATTATCGTTAATTAAATTAGCTGACTCAAATTATAAAATAATTTAGAAAATACATGCAAGGAAAAATCCTGAATAGATAAGACTAAAGAGAATATATTTTATTGTTTGTTAGGGTCATGAAGTCTGAATAGGCTCGGGACGAATTTTCCCATATTTTTGTTTGTTTAAAAAATTCCTCCTGCAACTTAATCCATGCAAATTTATATGCAGATTTCATAGTGGAGTATAGGCTTAATTTATTTTCCATTTCCTGAGCTGCCCAATAACCTCTTATCCCATCAACAAAGCAACATTTCAGTGGATGGCATTGAGACACTAGGGTGTTCTCATTGCTTTCCTTGTAACACAAGATCATCAAGGTTTGCAATATTAGCTTTGTAGAAAACTAACTGCAAATTTCTGAGATTCACCCTATAATAAGCCTGAGGACAATATACACCTGATTATCATCAACATAACCTAATGTTCCTTCTCAGAACATTCTCTGCATCTAAGTAAACCTGATTCGTACTCTGATTTGCTTTCAAGATTAATTTGAAAATTCTTATCCTGAATTTTATTAATGCACACAATCAAAATGTCTCTAAACTAGTAAGGCTTCTCTAAATACAAAGACAGCAAGATACAGAAACAATAAATACTTTTAGCTGACACTGCATGGTAAGATTCTGTGTGCTTTCTCTCTGTGAAGCCAATACGTTAAAACCTGCAGGGATAAAGGAAGTTAAAACAGTGTAAGAAATCACAATGCTTATATACTTATTAAAAATGGGCAGTGCGCCACATAAAGTTGACTTTTGTTGTGAAGGAATGAAAACCTGAATTACTTTACAAGAAATAAGAATTCAAGAATACAGGAACTGGGTAGCACAAAGAAAACCAGAACAAATTCAAGAACAACATCTAAATGACAATCCCACATTTCTGGAAGAAACCCTGTTACACAGTAATCTCCTGACAAGTAAAAACACTACGTGATGAGACTTCGTAGGTGAGGCCAAAATCTGATTAAGCACATTAAACTATGAAGCCAAAATAATGAAAACAGGTGTGATCTTTCCATCATATTTTCCACTTGCCAATGCTGTACACCTAGCTTACTATAATGCAAATGCAGTTTAAGACTGTTCTAGAAAATGTCATACTAATTTTTGCAATCACTTTATCTGATGGTGCTACTTTAATATTTAAAAACCACACTGTAAAAAGAACCATACCATAAAAGAATTACCTTAGGAAAGAAAATTCAAAGTAACTCCAGCAAAGACATCCCCCATCGATATTAAGAGTAGGCTCTGCTGGCATTTTCTTTTTTGTAATTGGGCTAAAAGTCCTTCATTCTGCTTCAGATTATTACAACAGAGTAAAACAGGAGTCCAACAGAAATATTGATATTATACCTGGTCACTAGCTCAAAATTATCTTTCACTAGTCACCCATCATTCCACAAATATCAGGTAAGACACTTAAGACAAATCTAAAACTTTGTTCCCAGGTCTTCCAAGACCATTCCCTCCATCATATGCTAAAACCTTCCCAAATCTTGACAGATCCTTTAATGAACCTTTATATAATCCTCAGCATGTTTATACATTGCTGTCATAAGCAGAACTCTTACAAGTCAGCCCTTTGAATTTCAATAGGTTCCCTTTTAAAAACACAAACTCTTTTTTATTTGCTAGCTCTTCATCTCTGATTGTTTATGAACATTATTGCAAAGAACTCTCTGTCCTGGAGTAGTACGGCATTTCTTTCTGAAGTTGCCAGTTACCAGGAAGCAAGTACTCAGCATCCAAATACTTCAAAGAGCATTGCTGTCTTCAGTTAGCATGGGTTTCTTATCCTTATTTTCACTATGCAAGCTCAGTAATCACGACATTTCCTTTTAACATAAACATGTACAGACTAGAAGTAAACCTTCAAATTGCAGTTAATCCCCATACTTGAATTGAATGCAGTCAGGCAGAGGTGCTCTCCTGGAAGCCAGTCTGGTGCAACCTTGCACAAAAAAGGCAAATATACTTTACATTGCTATTTAGAACATGCTAACCTAGCATGTTTCTGGAGTAAAGGTTCAGGTTGTCCAAGATGAGAGAGCACTCATAAGCTGGAAATCCCCATTCCGTGGCTGTCTAACAGCATAAAAAGTTGCCCTATGTGAAGAACCTCCTAGGAACATAAGTCTTCTTATGTCAGTGAACTGTTGGTCTTTTACTCACCTTATCACAACAGAAAGCTAGAGAAGTGCAACCAAAATGAGAGCACTCATCTTTGAACACTTTAAGGCCTATCAATACAGTGACTCACTGTAAGGTAAGGATGTGGTTTCAAGTCCTTTACGATTCTCCCAAAGTTGCCCTTCCCACAATCTGGATGAAAATTCGACACGGTGGAGAAAGGAGGACAGGCACTTCCTCCTTGTCTGAGCCGTAGGCGAGGTTAGACACAATCTGAGCACGCCAATGTATTAAGCTGCACAAGTGGAAAAGTTATGAATGGCTACCAAAACTTGAGAGTCTAGTTGTAAAATAGGTGCTAAGTAGTTTGACGTTGTTAGGACTTTTCCATGTGTCAGTGTATACTGCCACAGAATGTACAGGTCCAAAGAGTTTAGGAGCCTAACAGATTAGTGGTATTTTGTGAACTGTGTATAGCACCATTAAAGCACTCCAATCTCATAGCTAAGCTAATCTGCAAAGAATTGATAACAAACAAATTAAGAGTGATATTTAAATCTTCTTGATTTTCTGTCTCTGCTACTATCTGCATAATCTTATAAAGAAAACTCTAAATACCAGTTTCCTAAATGGCACCAAGTATGTTTACCAATAAGAAGACTGAGTTTTGGGATATCTTTGAGATAGATCACACTTGCTTGGATTCAGTCTGAACACCTCATCTGACTGCATATTGAAAAGAAAAATTAAACATTCCTATAGCTGAAAACTGCTGTAACTTAGCTTAATTGTCACATTCATTGCAGGGTTACAGATTAATAGATTGGCTAAACTGGCCCTTTTATAGAAACAAGGAAAAAAATTAAATAGGAGCAGTTAAATGAAGATCAATATTAATCAGTTATGTGAATTGACACACAATGTAAAGAAGTCACAGGTACTCTAGATGGACAACTGGAATGTTTCTCAAGACCTATCCAGTGACAGACCAATGATAAACTGTTCTCTCTCTTGTCATTTTGAGTGAAAAATTTCTGTGTGAGAATAAATAAGGCTCAATGATGTTTCAGTAGATGCGTCTTTTTATATGTAAGGTTGTGACAGCTGTCACCAAGAAGCTGTGAGATGCATACAAAAGTGATGGTAACCACAGTAAGACTGACTCATCCGCTGTCATTAGTTGCCCATGTAAGCATTCTTGATATAATTAAGTTTTGTGTCACTGTTGCAGTCTCACTCTCTGGTAAACCCTTTACCATTGGACTTATATTGGACAAGTTTCTTTAAGTTTGTATAAACTCATATTTAAGTCTGTGATTTTGTTTTGTATTTTCACTCAGCCACAGCCTACCAGACAATAAGCTACATTGCCACTGATATCTGGACTTCAACAAAAGAGTTTAAATCAACTTGACTGGAGAGACAGAGAGATAAATGAGGACTTCTCCACTAGAAAAAAAGAAATTTTTCATGGACCATTTTGTCCCTTTCACTTTCTTCAGCGAGTGAGGAAGATACATGTCTCTGATCAAATGACTGTCCCTTCTTTTTAAGTGTGCAAGATCATCTGTCATTTTCAAGAGGCATAGTATTACTCAAATAAACCCAGTGAGAAGAAAGTACATGCAGGCCATGAGAACAGAAAAGTGGAGTAA